GCAAAGCAGACAGAAAGTCCAGAGAGAACAACAGAAAAGCTACACATATGAGAATACAAGATGTACTTAAACTATCTAGTTCATGTGTCTGTATCATAGCTAGTGAAGGAGTTTTCATATTCAATCTGATTTCCAGATTGCTAGTCACTCCATGATTTATTTTATCTGGAAAAATAGTTACTTACCTTAGAGTAACTATGATTCTTCTAGATGTATTGATTACACAAGTTCATATATATGTGTGCAGCCTGTCCATGCATGAGATATTAGATTCCTTTTAACTGTTTGCACATGCAAACAGGTGTTCCCTCTGACCACAAATAAGTGATAAGCTTCAATCATTACTCCCCTTCTTCCAATGCAAATTCCTTATAAATTAAGGATTGAATCAGGAGGGAAGGTGAATAGGAATTTGTGTGGACAACACATCTCGAGGAAACCCAGTAGGAGCTGAGTTGGCTGGAGAGCAGGGGGAGAGGGTTAGAAATCCTTCCCCCCACCCCATCAGAAGCCAGCCAGACACATTCCACTCTGAAGAAGAATTCTTCTAACTATATGTAGGCATCTGCAACTGAGACAGGTGGTTGCTCTTTTTGACAGAAAGAACACTGCTGCATCTAGTATCTACAATTCAACTCATCTCATTCTACAGCGGGCACTTAACACAGGCCAGATGGAATACACCCTAAAAGTGCTTCACTTCTGAAAACAAGAAATTAAAGCATCCCAGGAGTTTAAAGGTTAAAAGTCTTAGGAGGTTATCTCTCCCAGGTACCTGGATTCTATCATTTTGTGCTACATATTTCCATATACTACACTTCACGGGGAATACGGAAAGGCTAAGAATAGAAGGATTATATCAGTTACAAAAATATAAAACATGTCTGGATTTCTCTTTAATCAACTGCCAACAACACTTTATCTATCGCTACCTAAGGAAAGGATTAATCTGAATTAGTTTTTACTCTGTTGAAATGCTATGCAACACAAATTTCCAGAAGACAATTTAGGACACCATCTTAAGAAAAATGTCATCTTGAAGAATGTCTATCTCTCACTGATTACAGGTGGAGTGTAAGCAGCTAGCTTTTAGATTTTTAAAGATGGATAAATCCTGCCTTAAATAACTGAACGTACTAAGTAATAAAAAAATTCCTAAAGAAAGCTTTATGCTGGATATGGATACTCCAGGTAAGTAAGAGAGAAGAAAGAGACAATAGATACTATTCTACCTTGCACTGTTAGCTATGATGATCACACAGGCATCCAATTCACTTAAATGGTTTCCACAGAACACAAAAGGGCTATCTTAAAATGAACCCATTACACATGTTTGGTCTGATCTTGCATGTGTTTATATACCTAGAACAGAATCTGTGGACAGCAATTCTTGAAAAAGAACAAATGAATTTTCAATCTAGATGGATTATACAGTCACACCAAGACCTTGTATCTGATTGACTGCCAACTCTGTGCACTGAGAAAAGAAGTACTCTCTCCCTTATATTTTTTTCAGTCAGTTAATTTAGCAAGGTGAATATTAGAATAACCATGGGTACAGAAAGGGCTTAAAAATGTACTTATAAGGCTTGTGTGGTCAAGAATGTTGGTTACCATAGTATGATTCCAACCAGTTGCTTCTATCAAAAGAGACTTCCCCTATATTGGCAAAGTGATAAGTTCTTGAATGTTTCCTTAAGTACTAAGAAAATAGTTCTTGGTCTTACAAACAGAATCTACTTTTGTAATTTTTTTTAAAGGAATTTAAATTGCTGCTCTTTGCCATTACTCTTGCAGTGCAGGAAGACCTGTGCTGTCATTGTTTGCTTATAAAAAAAAACCAAACTCTTACATATATCAACTATGCTCTTAAATATCGTCACAGAATTGCAAAATCACAGAATGGTTGAGGTTGAAACAGGCCTCTGGAGGTCATTTGGTCCAAAGCCCCTTCTTAAGCAGGGACATCTAGAACAAGTTGTCCAGGACTGTGTCCAAGTGGCTTTGGAATACCTCAAAGAATGGAAACACCTCTCGAAGCAACTTGAACCAGTGCTCAGTCATTCTCACAAGGAATTGTTTCCTGACGTCCAAAGAAAATGTCCTGTGCTTCAGTTTGTGCCCACTGCCTGTGGTGCTGTCACTGGGCACCACTGAAAAGCACCTCACACTGTCTTATTTGCCCCTCCCTTCAGGTATTTTGACATATCGATTCCCCTAAGCCATCTCTTGTCTCAGCCTAACAGCTGCAGCTCTCTCAGCCTTTCGTCACAGGAGAGATGCTCCAGTCCATTCCTCATCCTTGTGGTCCTCCATTAGACTCTCTCCAATATCTTCAGGTCTCTTGTACTGCGGAGACCAGAGCTGGACAAAGCGCTCTAAGAGTGTCCCCACTGGCTGGCAACCACCCTTGAACTGCTAGCACCACTATAAATTTGCATCTGCTGTTGTGACAGCCTTACCTAACCTGGTGATTTAAATGATCCTTTGCCTAATTTTCCCCAACTCATATGCAATTAAGAATTTGGGCTAAAAGATGGCAAAGCAAAGGGTGAAAAAAACCCTCCACAAGGTATTTAATTATGAAATATTAGACTGAAGGTTTTTTTTTTTTTTTTCAATTTTCCCTTCAAATACTGTATAAATATGAATTGCAATATTTGTATCTGTATGTTTAAAAACTGTATTGTTGTATATTCAGCACTAGAGTGTCCCTATAAGTATCATGTAATATGAATGACACTCTTAATTTGCCAAGGATTAGCTGGATCTCTTGTTTCACCTAGGTATCCTGCAGTCAACAGGAAACATTGCATTAACTCCTGTCTTGTTTCCCCTTCCCTCCAGAAGTATGTAAATAAGGTCCTAACACTTGTTACAATTTCTATATGATTTTTTTGCCAACCCTATCATTATGATTTTCTTGAGGACAGATCAAATATCTTCAAAAGCAGGTTCTGAGTATGAGAAATTTGATCTTCTGTTGACGCACTCTCCCTGAAAAGTCTTAAGTAAAGCAGTGCAAAATAAGCTTCTCTGTGTGATATATGATAGAATACAAAAGTTTACAATAATAAAAGACCAAAGTGCTCCAAAAGTTTAGCCATTTGCGAGCTTCTATCTATCCAGTCCCAAATAGATGAAAGAATTATGCTGTTTTTCCTGTGTATTTCACTGCTTCAGGGCCAGTGATTCCTTCACTGGACTTATTTGCACTGCTTACTGGCTTGGTTTCATCCATATCTTATTTCTATCAACCTATCTCATGTCATGTGATCATCATTTTTACCATGACCAAGGCAAGGGAACTGGAAGTCATGTGGACAGGACTAGGGAGCGAGGTACACAGTGGACATAGGTGCATGATAGAGATGAGAATTTCTCTAGAGAGAGACTAGCAGAATTTGCATCATAAAAAACTGAAGGCCCCATCACTACTCTTGACTGGAGACTCCACTGGAGAAGTGGAGTTTGTCTCAAACTGCCAGGCAATTCCATCAGGGGTGTGACAAGGAATATAGTTCTTCCTCAAGGAAACAGAGAATGATTGCATTAGAAATTCAATGAAATATTGAACTCTTAGTCTCTTCTCAAAGTCTGGGATTTAGTGATTTCTGCAGGGTGAAATCTAGGGAACCAGCAGTTCTACCAAATTTTACCTGGATTGCTACTGCAATATCTTAGTGAAATCTAGAAAGAGGAAGTGGCGTTGAGCCAAGAATGACAAATTGATGAATTAGTGTTATTTCATTTCCTAGTAATTCACTATTTCACTGCAAAATTCACTGAGTTGCTGGAGGCAACTCAGTAGTTGCCCTTTCACAGCTCATATGGTGTACTCTCTTGGTATAGCCAGAGGCAGAAAGAGCATGCAGTGACTGAGTCTGCATTCTCCTGCATCTTCTGTGCTTAAAACTCAGGAGAAGATGATGAGATTCTTCTTCAAAATGCAACCCCAGAACAGGCAGCAGACCTGGGTGAGGCTCCTGGCAGCAGAAACTGCACTGTATGCCATACTATGGAGATGATGGGACTGCGTAAATTGTCACAAACCACAGTCTTCACTGCTCACTCCGTGACAATAGCACATGCATGTCCTCAGACCAATAATTTAGCAGGAAAAAAAGGGCTCAGGCACTGGAATTGGACAGCAAAGCTATACCTTCCTTAGCCACATGGAGCCATAAGGAAGGGGATTCATTCCTTTCAAAGCTCTTCTGTAGCTCTGTACGGAATGCAAAGAAACACAGATAAAAAGTGCTTCCTCTTTCTCTCTGACTGGGGCTGAACAGATTGTCTCAGCAGTGTTTCCTGTGTTTGCCATGAAGAAAGCAAATAATCAGGATTAGAATGTGAGTCATATGATCACTTGGCATCATTGGCTACAGCCATTCTAGTGCAAAGCCAGTGCACTAGAGCATATGCAAAACACAAACCAAGAAAAAACAAGACTGAAAACAATTCCTTAGACCAAATACTCAGACGTCACTATGCAACAGAAAGAAACCTGTGTCAAAATTGTAACTGATTCCCAAGCCTAGAATCTCAAAGATGATACCTAACCACCTCTTGGACTATTTCTTGTTCTTATCCAGAAATGCATTGTGATAAATCCAGAAGTGATGTTTTGCTTCAGGAAACAAATTATTGCAATCTCATTGGTGTTATGCTTGAAAACCTTTTAGGGAACTTTAGGATCCATCGGCTTGCTACTATTGATAATAGATTG